GCTTTTATACAACACAAAACCCATAATGGAAAAGGAAGAGAAAGAGATAGAGAAAGACGTAAGGAAAGGAAGGGAAGAGCTGTGATTGCTGGATTAGGGGAGTGAGAACTTAGAATCAGTTTCCACGTCTCTCTTTTCCCATTTCGTGTATTGGCAAACTTAATTCTAACTCTCAGTCATTCAGCCGTGAATTCAGCATCATCAACAAATGTCTGCTCAGCAGATTTCTAAAGAATTCATGCGCGTGGCGTTTTTTTCTTACACTTCTTGAATTCCTAGGCTTATGTCTGTGAGCGCAATAACATACGAGTGCTGGTGAGGGAACATTCAGGCATTGTTATTTGTATGCAAAACTTCTGAATTACCGCGTGGCCTGAACTGTTGGGCTCTGGCGTCGGAATTTTTATTTTATTTTATTTTATTTTATTTTTTTTTTTTTTTTTTGAATTTTTGCACTTTCGTCTGTTTTCGACAAGCGCATAAACGAACACGGAGAGAAGACGAAAGCCTTTCCCCTCTTAAGAACTGGTTGAAGGCAACGGCTTGTCTGGGGATTGCTGTAGTGCGAATTGGATTTTTTCCGGTGTTAATATGTAAATTTTTCATTTTATAATTTTATGTTTTGAAGCGCCGAAATGATTTTTTTAGTTTTGAAGATAACCGAACGGTTTTAAACGCATATTTTTAGCGCCAGAATATGCCATTTGCGCACTACTATTGCGTGGATGAGTATCACAGTTGGCAGAACTGCGAGTACGAGGACCACCTCCTCCGAATGAAGGAGTTCGAACGGGAAAGGCGGCTACTGAAGCGGGCAGCGAGGAAGAAGAAGGCGCAAGAAGAAGCGAAAAAGACAGCCGAGTCTCTTTCCTAGGAATCAGTTGCTTTAGTTTTGTTCCGTTCATGTTTATATTATGTGTAATATGTGCATAGTATATTAAATAATTTTTTTACAAAGCGATTTTTGCTGAAGCAGCGATTTTTTTCGCCTTCCTTATAAAGCTATTTTCGTTGCCAGAGCTTCCGAAGGGTTTTAAAACTTTAGGATGGCGCGATTTTGCAGTAGTAAATGTGCTCTCTATTTTCAGGGTTGAAATGATTGTCTAAACTGGTTTCATTTTTTCCCACGAATGGTTAATTTTTTTCTGATGGTAAATTGAACTGATGTAAGCTGTTGAATTGGTCCTATGCTTTTGGCTTCTTTTAAAGTGATATTTGAAAAAGAGGACTTTGAAAAGATGTTTGAAAAAGATGTCCCAGAGTAATTTTGTCGAGTCTTTGGCTGGGATCTGATTGGAATAATGGATTGGGGGAAAATCGTAGCGCCGGCAGAGCATAAAATAAACATTCCGCGCTACGCTGTTATGTCTTTCGACGTATATTTGAAAAAGAGGGCTGTCGACTGCCTTGTCAACGGATAGTAGATTCTGCTGCAGGAATGCTGTTACATGAGTTATCTCCACATTCCAAACCCCTCATAGAAGTGTAATTTATTAGTATTTGTAAAATAAGTAATGCATATCTAAGAGGGAAAATAAATAAGAAGTTGAAAGGCGATGGGCTAACTTTCTGTGAAAAGTTGCGTGATTTTGGCTTTTCAGATTTTTGTTATTATTGGTGACGGTGCAAAAACCAATGATTTTTTAATAAATTCTTAGGTGAATCCTGTGTCTCCGAGCTTTTGGCACAAATTTAATCTTATTTCAAACTGACTGTGTTCCAATTTTCCAGTTTAGTAACCGGTAAGCATTGTTAGTCGACGTAATCGGTGGTGAGGAATACCTAGATTATAAGGTTTTTCGTTTTCTCTTCTTCTCATCTTTGTGATAAGTTCGGCTAAAATGATGGATTTTGGGAATATAATTTTTATGCGTTCTTTGCACCTATGCAATGCAAAAACGCATATCGTCGAGGATTGTCTCTTTGTGCGTCTGTACCGATTTTTCATCTTGAGACCTACGAAAGCTACAGGGCTGAAACATTGGGAACTTAATCTACATGCATGTACGAGCCTCCATCCCCAAAGTGGGTGCTCTTGTCCACGTTGCTCCCATTTGCGGGTTTGAGAAAGTTTTTGGCAGGTAAGCTGCTAGCTTGAGGACCAGGAAAGCCAGAAAGATGAGATTTTAAAGGGATGTTTTGGGAAAGTTGTTGTGGCCAGTCTCAATTCTTTTAGCTGGAAGCATCTGTTGGGAAAAACAATGCCGTAAGTGACAAAATCTGCGAGGAACTGTGCAAAAAAACGTTCTCGTATCGGCGATCGGTGTGCTGACCAGTTATTGTTGTCCTTTTGTTGGTTTCGAATCAATCCAATAAGTTCGACGAAGTTCGAGCTATGGGCTTTGCTAATGGCAGGCATTTGAATTGCACATGTTTGCAAGTTTAATTTGTAATGGTCTGAATTATGCAAAAAGATGCATAATTCAGACCATTACAAATTTCTACATATTTTCTGCAGATAACTAATATGGAGCAACGAAAAGTGAGGCATTTTTTGCGAATCCTGGCAGATCCGGTGAAACTGGAGAAGGCAGTGCTCTCGCTTGTTGATGAATTCGGAGAACTGTCGGCAGTTAATGATATGGGATGGGCCTTGTTGGCGAAGCTTGTCTATGCTTGCAATCATGAGATGCTGAGATTGATTGCATCTAGGATCCAGGTACCGTGTTTGCTTTAATTCAGTACTCTCGGTTTGTATTAATGCAATGATTTGGTCGGGAACTTGCTTCGAAAGTGGCGCTGAGAGGCGGCAAATGCACTCCCAAAAAAAGAAACTATTTCTTTTTCATACGTTTTGTGCTGTGTAATAGCATTACAAAACACATATTGTCACGGGGTTGTCTGTGTGTATGTATGTGTGTGTGTGTCCCACATTTTGTCCCGCACTTTCAACTCGGGAACCACAAAAGCTAGGCGGCTGAAATTTTAGCGTAGTACTCTCCGCCAACGGGTGACGCGGCAAATTTAAATTCAGCCTTCCCGTACCTGCGGGTAACTCGTACGGCACCCGCCAACGGGTGACGCGGCAAATTTAAATTCAGCCTTCCCGTACCCGCGGGTAAACAAGTATGGCCCCGTGAAAGTTTTTTACGGGTAAATTAATATCTCAGAAATCACGGAGTCTAGGAGGCTGGAATTCTACGGTGATGACCCCCTACCCACGCTCAACCTTGCTCATTCAAATTCAGCGTTCCCGGGCTCTTGGGTATCACCTACGGGCTAGTGAAAGATTTTACGGGTAAATTATTATCTCGGGAGCCACAGAGTTTAAGAAGCTGAAATTTTAGTGTAATGACCCCCTGCCCACGCTCAATCTTGCCTATTCAAATTCAGCGTTCCCTCGTTCTTTAGTATCACCTACGGCCTCATGAGAATTTTGGCGGGTAAACTATTAACTCGGGAATCACGGGAAGTTATTCACCCTTCGATGTCTCGAATTCAACTTTCATGCGCTGATGCATGAAATTTTTAACTATTTTCCAATGTGTGAACTATTTTTGCATAAACAAAAGTACAAAGCAGTGAAAATCATTAATAGGCAATCGTTCAATGTGCTGAATTGCACAAAACGCGTGTTCGCACCGGCTAGTCTGGTGCGCGTTGGTATTTATCTGTTTTCGCGGTATTTAGTTGCTTCGGATGAATCAGGGGAGGAGGAGGGGGACCTTTGTGAACCAAGAAATCACAAAGGCCGAAGTTTGCCTTTGTAATTTCTTATCCTAAAGCGGTACGGTTGGAAATGGGAGTATGTGAATGTGCTGGATAAATGCTCTTCTCGAATTTTACCCCTAACTTCGGATCCACAGAATGAGTATAAAGGGTTACGGTAATTATGATGATATCCAAGCGGCTGAATAGTATCGGACAAGGTGACTGAGATGAGATTCTTGTGAATTTCAGTGAATTTCAGGGCGATGAATTCGTTTCAGTTGATTTTTAAAATCGAATTTTAGAAGCGGTTGATTGTTGCGGCTAAGCAACCAGTGAGTGTTCCTCTGTTGCATTTCGTCCGTTCGTTTCTTGTGCGCTTCCCGTGGCTCAAAGCTTGCAATGAACAGACGCTGGCGTGCATTGCCGCACACGCTGTGGACTTTGCTGTCGAAAATTTCTCCATGGATATTGTCAGGTATAATTTATGCGCTCCAAATAAAAATTTTTAAAAATAAGAAATGATTAGAAATATGGCATTCGAATAATCCGTCCCCTGTTAGTAGGAGAGTAAGGGTTTGTTTTGTGAATTAGGTGAAAATCAGCACTCGAATATTTGGCAAAGACTTTTTGATTTCTAATGTTGGGCTAAAAAAATGAGCATTTTCCAGCTCAGTGACATTTGTTATTGCGCAAAACAGTGAAATTTTCGCTGTTTTAAGTTTTTTAATCAGTTCTCGTGATCGTTTCTCAAGCCCATGGCGA